GAGTATCAGCAAATATGGCGGCAGCGGGGGGGGGACACTTTAACCCATTCCTCCTCACTACTGGCGAATTTCTTCTTGGCAGACACACAGACTGAATTCTCAAAAAAAGAGGCTTTCCTCCAGTTCTAAAGCAGAAGGGTAGGCACTTCCTCCTTCCATGCCAGGGCCACCGCCATCACCGTGAAGATGGCTTGCATTTTTAAAAAGCTGTGCTTGAAATGCCCCATTGTTCACCCTCTAGCAAGGCTGGCCCAGCCCTCTGCATGTGGTGCTTGCAACCCCTGTCCCACCCCTCTTGTCGGGGGGGGGCTGGCACCGGCACCCTCTTTCCGGTAGCTCAGCTGCTTCCCAGTGATGAGCATGGGACAGAGAGCATTGTGGTGTGGTGTGGGGAGTGAGGTTTCTTACCCCCCTCCAAGTCTTCCTGCTGCTGATCGGCAGGAAGCACCTGAGCCGCGAGGGCGGGGAGGGGGAGGAGAAGGAGCCATCCTGCCCCAGACCACAGAAGAAGCGCCCTTCCTTGGTGTGGCTTGCAGGGTCTCCTTGGGGGCCCCTGGAGACAGAGGGCCCTCAGCAAGGAAGCCGGAGCCTGGCGCCCACCTCGTGCTTCTGGTCACACGTGCTCCTACACGGGGGTGCCTGTTAGCTGAGCAAGGCAGGCGTGTGAACCCAAAGGGGAAGTTAGCAAGACTTAATATGAAAGAACTCATGTCTCACAGTAGACTGTCCATAATGAAGCATTGCACAATTCTTGTATGGAATTGAAAAAAAGATGGTTAGATGAACACAGCTAAGTTGAGAGGAGCTGCTGCAGTTATTGTGACATGTCTCTAGAACAAGACAGCTGAAAGACCGAGAGAGAAAGAGGGAGAGAGGGCAACTACAGGGACCTTGTGAAGGGAGAAAGGCTGTTGCACCAGGCCTGGAAGTTACGGGGGGGGGGGGGNNAGAAGCTTGGCGCAGGACAAGGTGGTGGGTAAAGAAAAGAGACCATCGAAAGACACAGAGAGAGGAAGGGATCCCGAGAGGGTCCTTTCTTGAGGATGTACAACAGTCTTGACATCAACGGGACCGAGGAGGGCGAGAGGCCGGAGGGAGGCGGGCCTCGTCCCTGGACAGGACGGTCCTGGCGGTCATTCAGACCGGTCATCTGACAGTCAGCCTGACACGCCACCATCGGGCCTGGTGAGCCCTGTGGCATTCCGTCTTTTCTACGGGGCCGTCCAGTTTTGTTTAATGCTCAGAGATGTTGCCAGTTCTATTGGCTCTTTTTGCTCGCTTGCCATTTCTGTTTCCAGTGGAGATCCCCCCCCTCGCAGCTTCTCAGGGACTTTCAATAAGGTAGATAAGTAATATGGGGCGCAGGAGTTTCCCCCTCTCTCAATCTCTCTCTCTCTTGTCATTGTTTTCTTATGAGACTGAAGCTGCTGTCCTGCACAAACACCCAGTGTGGCTAAATGCATTCTGCCTGCTTCTGAACAGGCAAACAGAGACCACACTAGGAGGTATTTATGGCTTTGAGGCCGCAGTCTTGTGTATGCTTGCTTGCAGGTAAATTCCGAGAATCAGAATGGGTCTCGATTTTGAGTAAACATGCAAGGGTGTTTTAGGGTTTTTTTTTACTTAAGAAGATGAAACATATATAATTTAATGTCAAACAGTGCAATTGTACTGTATATGCTAAGTTAGAAAGACTGCATTTTATATTGAATGCTCCCATTTCTCCCTATGCAGCAGTTCTGCCTTTCTGAATGGGTGGTTCTGTTTAATTTGTTTGAGTTTCTATGGTTTCCTTCTGGGCCACAGGAACAACCCTGTGTTGAGGTGGAGTTGGAGCAGCAGCATCTGTTAATTTTGTCATATTGCATTTCTCCCTTAGTAGATTCTGTGGGTATTACCATCACGGGGTGGGGGGAGGGGAGAGAGCAGGAATGGGAGCAGCTCTTGGCTTAGATTCAGGAAAGGGCAGGATTTGGAACTTAGGATGGTGCGAAAGGTTGGCTGCAGGTGTTGCTAGACTTGGCCATTGCTGGAAATCTCTGGGTTCGAGGGAGCAGGGGAGAGGAGAGGGTTTCCATCTGCACCCCCAGAAATGTGAGGGCAGAAGGAATGTCTTCCCTAGCTTCTGCGGCTTGTGATGGCTTTCCCACCCGCTGAAGTCAATGCTAAAAGCAGAGGCAGGCTCCCTGTGCGCTTCGTTTACTGAAGAAAGGTGTGATCCAATGGTGCTTTCGCCCTGCTTTGGGAACTGGTTGGTTCACAACATTTCCCGCTGACCAGCTGACAGGCCGGCAATTGCCAACCAGCCCATCCTTTATCCGCGCCTAGCCGCACCTTTTCGGGGCCCCTGGCAGGGGTTGTTGTGTTTTGTTTCTTTTTTATTATTATTCTTTTGTTTGTTTTCAGCCCAAGTAGGATTGCTGGGTTTTAGTGTGGTTTTCAGCACGTGTGAATGCTGGTATTAAAGCAAGGCAGCATTGGCAGGTTTCTCCCACCCCTACCCCCAACAATTCAGTGCTGTGTCACGTGGGTCCATAGCAAGCCCATGGAGTGGACTATCACTGGTACATTAAAAAAAATCAGTCAGTCAGTCAGTCAAGCTTTCCTCTGCTCCTGATGGAGGGGATGACAGGAGGGAATGCAGGGCCATGGAGGCTGAAAAAGAAGAACGGGCTAAATAGGGTATCTGCAGGCTTCCTTTGGCAAAACCACCCTCTGCATTTGGGTGGAAGGATCATTCTAAATCTCAGGCTGCAGTTTCAAGTGATCCATTGATCCAGCTGGCTTCCACCTCCCTGTCCAGTTGCACCTTCAGTGGGGTTAATCATTACCTTAGGAGTGAGTTTCAGAGAAGTAGGGGCCACGGGCCTATCATGTTTAAACATAAGTCCCCAAATGACAATTCCAGAAAGTTGTAATCCAATGCACACTCAAGAACCCCAATCCCCTTTGTGGGACACACACACACCCCTTTGGCAAGCCTGGGCAGAGTCACCCACGGCTGTCCAGCCAGTGCTGCGGCCGATCGGGCGAGCAGGGGGGGGCAACCTGAGGTCTGCATGTCTGCCTTTCCATTGCAGGTCGAACCTTCCTAATTTTCCCAGATTCTTCACCTTTAATTTTGCAGCCTCAGCAGGCTTTTGTTTATGGTAGTCATTGTTGCAACAGTATCAGAAAAGTAGCCATACCAGTTTGTTTCAGCAAGAATAGAAACAGAAAAAGCAAAGCAAACAGAAACAAAAGCAACAATGTCTTTTTTTGCCATTTTAAACTTTGTTGTTGCAAAATTATATGTGAATCTTATTTATTAAAAATGGGAAGGACTAGCAACTGGCTTGGGTTGTGTTTGGGCAGGAAGCCCTGTTTTTCAGGAAATGGTTTTAAAGGAAATTATTACTTATCATTACTGTCAGGGTTTTAAGGAAATTCCTTTAAGTGGGAGAAGACTCTTGGGAGCTCCTTCTAGGCTGACCTTCAGAGGTTGCGAAATTCTTCTGAAAGGCCGAACCCTCCCTCAACCTCTTGAAGGAGGCTCTTTCTGTCCCACCAGCCCTCCAGCGTTTGCAAAAACCTGAAATGGTTTCACCCTGGAGGTGTTCCTGAGGGAGGGGCCCCTGGAGGAGGACGAAGGCTTTTGGGCGAAAGCAATTTTAGGGTCTCCCTTCTGTGTGAAGTCCTTTGCTTGCTGTGCCTCGGGGGGGGGGGCTCGGAGAGGCCGGGATCAGCATTTGGCCATGTGAGGACTGTCCAGAGTTAGAGAGCATCGGCTGCCTGGCTTTCTGAGGGAGCAAGCCTTTTATCCAGGAGTATTAAATATAGCCTCCCTGTTGAGTCCATTTGGTGCTGTCTTCCAAACCAGGAGGGCTCTTCCTGGTCCCCAGGGCATTTGTGCTGCTTTTAGCAAGAAAACATGGTGTCTTCTCTCCTCCCCCTCCCCTTCTCCCCACTCTGCTGGAACAGAAGCATAAGGTTTCTGCTGGCAGAGCAGGCCAGAGCTGACACATTCCCACGGCCCCCAGAAGCGCCTCAGTCTACTGTGGAAAACTTCAGGCGCTCGCCAGCAGAGGCGGCGAGAGGAGCCTCCAACCGATGACACAGGCAGGCACGGTGGGACCGTCTCCGGGGGTTCTGGAGGGCCAAGGCTGTGGATGCCCCTTCCTTGCACACATCTTTCTCCCTGGGAGTGGTGAGGATGGAGCCCAGGGATGCACAGGTGGTCAGACCCTGCCCAGCTGTGAGGCACCTGCTCAGTCCCTTTCCTTCCACCCATCAGCTTCCATTGTGTCCACCTGCCCAACCTTCAGATGTTCAGCGCATAGAGCACCCCATCCCAAAAAGGATGTCCACCTCTGTGGATGAGAACCACTCCTAAATGGACACAAATTCATGCCCCTCCCTGAGATCCCCTCTTCAGTTAGAATATAATCCACTAATTGGGGGGGGGGGGCAGAAGTCTGTCTCTTCCTTCCCTGCCTCTGGGCTTTTTGTCACCATATCTGCTGTGACATTTCGGGGCATAAAAACCATGAATTGTCTCATCTTTGGTGTGGGGAGAGAGTGCTTTTTGCACAAACTGCTTGCATTTCACACTTAAAGAAGGTCTGCTAGGTAGAAAAACATCTGTATTCTGTTCAAATTCTAAGGTTCTTGTGCAAAATACAACTCTAATGTTCTGGTTAATTTTTTTTCCACAAAATTCAAAGATTTGTGCAGAAACAATGTCCTGTGTGTGCTTGAGAGAGAGAGAGAGAGAACATAAATAAATGCACAGACTTCTTATATTCACAATCAGTGGTGTATTTGACATGAAATTGTTTCTGCCTGTGGGAGCAAAATAAGTTGATTCACATGTGCCTTGCGGGCCCTTCAGCCCATCATTGCCAGGCTGGACAAGGCGGCGGGGTGTGTGTGTGTGTGCTGACTCCTGCATGGGATGTGGTGAGTCAGAGGCAGCTCCCCAGAGAGTGTGAGGTGTGGCAGTGGGGAGTACACTGTCTTTTTAATGCCTAGAGGCTGGCTGAAGTTGGCGGCCCCTCCCATGGGGAGGAGAAGCCCCACAGGAGGGGCGGGGCGGCCTGTTGTGGGGGGCAGCTGTCAGAGGGACAAGGGAGTCCTGGGCTTCCCTGGAGGGAGGCCTCCCTTCCGCCTGGGGTGGCCCCAGCACTTCTGTCCCGCCTGGCGCTGGTCTGGGGCTTGCAGGCTTTCCCGGGTGGGAGTCCCGTGAAGGAAGCAGGACAGGCATTGGAGCTCAGTTTCCCCCCTGCTTTGAGACTATGTCAGCCTTTGACTGCCCTGAAGCACAGCTGGCCTGATGTGCTGTGGTGGGAGAGACAAAGGCATCCACACGGGAGGAGGGGGGGGTCTCTGTGTCACACCAGCATTGCTGCCGTTTGTGCCGGAAGGGACTGGCGAGGCAGTGCAGCTGTTGGACAGCCTGGTATGTTCCAAGGATGGCTCAGCAGGGTTGTTATTTGCCACCTGAAGGACTTTGTTGGAGGGGCACAGTTTTAATGGTGTGTGTTGTGGGGGTGGTTTTCCTGCCTTTAACTGAAGATGCTGCTCTGTCTGGCATGCTGGGCAAGCTGCGAGCCGAGAGGGTAGGCAAGCCCCCGGTCTCTGTGTGTGTGTCTGTGTGTGTTCCCTGTTCCCTCCAGCTGCGGGCCTCTCGGCCTCTGTGCAAAAATCTCCCGGCGAGAGTCCTTTCTAGGCCTCCTCCAGAGTTCTACCTAATGTTTAGATGGAACTTCCTTGTAACTTGAATCTCTTGGCCTTGTCTCAGTCTTTGCAGGAAGATCTGGGCTCTTCCTCTTCGGTGGCCCTGGATGAACTGGGCAGGTGGGGTCGGTGGGGCTGCCCTGCGGCCTCTAAAGCCTGGGCCTCTCCTTCTGGGAAGCTTCCCCAGGCCCTCAAAGGGAAGGGTGGGGTGTTGAGGTGCCCTGCCTGATGGACATAGTCTTGTCTCACCTCTCGACCCATGACGTAGATAGCATGGGCCAAGCGAAGCCTGGGATGGCCAAGCAGGGGGGTCTCTGGCACCGGGCACGACGCTCCTCTGGGCAGTGGCTGCTGGTTTGTGGGGCTCGGCGGCACCTTCTTTCTTGCCTTTTGGCCTCCTTGGTGGGGGGGCGGCCCTTCCCTAGTTGACCGCCTTGTGGTTTTGCAGCTGGAAGACTGTGCCGTGCAAGTCCTGCCTTCGGGGCATTACCTGGACCTGGAGCTGTCGCTGCTGGAGCAGAAGGAGGACCTGGAAGGCTTCTACGAGGACATCGCGTGAGCCTTGGGGATGGAGGGGGGCAAGGGGGCTGCTGCCCAGTGGGGGCCACTCTGTCCTCGGAGCTGGTCTGGAACCTGAAGGCTGCAGTGGGGCTGCTCTCCCTCTGAAGCTCACGAAGTCACCGTCCGGTTGTTCGCCACTGCCGGGGCGGTCCTGGCTGCCCCCCTCCCTCCCTCCCTCCCTCCCTGCCAAGCCCAGCTTCCAGGCTGAGGGGCGATCCTCTGGCCCGGCCCAGCAGAGGGGAGCTGTTCCTCTCGGGATGGTTTGTCTGCCTGGGGAAAGTCTGGAGTGCAGTCTTTGAGAAGAAGAAGAAGAACTGGGACTGGGGCTTTTCCCTCTTAGGGAAACAGGGTGGGATGTTATGACCCCCCCCCCGAGTCTTCTCCCTGGGGAGCCTGCTGGAGCTTTTCTTCCCCAGGCTGACCTGGTTTCCTTCACTTTCACAACGTTGCAGCAAAGGGAGGCGCCCAATCCTGCTCCTGCGTACACAGCTCTCGGTCCGAGTGCAGGCCATCATAGGTGAGTACCTCTGCACGGATTCTGTGCTCACACTGAGAGGGGTGTGTGCATGCAGGCGCGTGTGAAGGCTTCGCTCCTTTGCTCCAGAAGCCTCTTGGCCGCTTGGCTTAGCTGCTTCCTGCTGCCTCCAGTCCCGATGGCTGCTCCTTGCGCTGGAGGAAATGCCTACCGGGGTGGGAGGTCAGAGCAGAGATGGCCGGGGACCTTCACAGGCTTTGGATGGGTGGTCCTCTGGCTCTCCGGGACATCTCCTCCCCAGGCAGGAAAAGAGGCTTCCCAAGTGTGCAGGGGGTGCTTTCTGCCACCCCTGCCTTCTGCGTCTTCCTGAGTGAGACGTCAAAGGTCAGCCATGCGGAAGAGGAGGAGGAGGAGGAGGAGGAGGAGGAGGGCCATTGTGGAGCCCTGTCTGAAACAGCCCCCAGGACTGTGGCCTCAATATGGGCTGGCACACACAGGCCTTGCCAGGCTGTTGGTGCACTGGCACTCGAGGAGCTCATGGGCCTTCCTTGGCCACGGGCTCATGGCCAAAAGGACTCAAATCCCTCCCAAGAGTTGGGGACAGTCGAGAAGCCAGAATGAAGCTGGGCTTTAGCCCTGGATAAAAAGCCACCCTAGGGTAAAGAGAAGGCCAGTGGGTGCCCAGTCAGCCTTTGGACTGAACAATGCTGCCTCCACGCTGGCCGCCATGGGGGGGTGGGGGTGGGGGTGGGGTGTTGATCCCCTCGCCTTGGCTGTGCTCGGCGGCCTTCAACTTCCTCTCTGCTGGCCTGTGTGTGGATATGATGCATTCCTGCTCGGTGCTCCCCAGTTCCCTCAGCACCACTTTGCCTAGCAGGCTCAGAGGTTTGCACCCCTCAGCTATGGGCGCTTCCTGCCAGCGCTTTCCGGTGGGGCAGTGCCTACATGTGGGAGGTCTCTGAGGCCAGTTGGTGCAGATCCAGAGAGTCCCCCGCCACACACACACACACACACACTTTCCAGCTGAGTTCCTGAAACGTGGCTCCTGATTGAAATGACTGAGCCACACCTGACCATGGGTACACAGACATACCCCCAAACACACACACACACATACACACACACACTTCTGGGCAGCTGCTTGAGGGGCTAGCTCTGGTATTTGGGCAAAGCCCAGAGGCCATTGGCCCCCCAGAGTAGCTTTTTCCTTTGATCTGTGCCTGGAAAGAAAGCAGGAGGGCAGCCGGACACCAAAGACCACCCCCACCGGGGCACTGCCTGTTCTGACTGCCAGCCAAAGGCCACCTTTGCCAATGACCGGTGGTGGCCTTTGATGCTCCCACTCTCCAAGGCGGGGGGAATGGGTGGCACTCCCCCCCCCTTGACCATCTCCTCTGCCATTGGGGCAGCCATTCCTTCTCCCTCCCTGTATTCTGGGGGCATTCATAGGAGGGGGACAGTTGTCCGCCTCCCTTCCTCCCCGCTAGTTAAAAAGGTATCTGGGCCGCAGGAGGGAGAAGTCCCGTGGAGGAGAGGAGCAGCCACCCGGCAGCCCGGGCCTCCAGGAGGGGAAGTGCGCCGAGGCCTTTCCTGGATCCTCCCCCCACACCCCTCAAAGTGCTCCCCCTCTCCTTCGAATTCTCCCGGGTGACTGCACCCAGTTGTGGTGAATGGCCAACCAGCTGGGCAAGAGGGAGGGAGAGGCAGGGTTTGCCTGTGAGGAGAGAGCGGTTCTCAGCGGTTGGCAGTGGCCAAGAAGATGTTAACCGGGTGCAGCCAGCCCTGAAAGAGCTGGGCTGGGCCTCTTGGGGCCTGGGGGAGGCATGGCCTTGGAACGCCCCCCCCTCCAAAGGGGCAGAGGCGGACTCTCCCGCTGCCTCCTGAGGGCTCCCTGGCTGCTTCCAAACAAGAGGAGTCAGGCGTCCCTCCCAGCCTCCTCCTTTGGAGATGACAGAGATCTTGTGATCTGGCTCCAGGCAGAGGGGATGAAGGCAAGAGCTCAGCCCTCTTTCTTTCTCCTCGGCTTGGACTTCTCCTCCGTGCAGGAAGCAGCCCCGAGATATTTATATGCCAGGGACGGAAACGGGAAGCCAGCCAGAGAGCGTTTGCAGGGGCTCCGGCTGCTGCCCTGCTTCTTGACCCAGGAGGAAGAGCGCCGAGATGCTTCCGCTGAAAGGCATGGGCGTGGGGAGCCTTGGCAGGGGGATTGGGGGGGCAAGGGGTGCCTTCCACGAGGCTCCTGAGCCATCTGCTTCCTGCACCATCCCAGGATGTTACAGGAACTTTCGATCCTGCCCCCACCCCTGAAAAAAAGCAGTAAAGGGCTCCTGCCCCCTCCCATGTCTGGCATGCTGGCAGGGAATTGATCAGCCTACATTTGGTCTGGCTGCTGATTCGGAGGCAAGGGTGGTGGTCTGGATCCGCTGGAGAATTTGATAGAGTACATGGGAGGGGAGAGCGACTTCCATTCCTTAGGGTGGTATTCTTCCTCGCTGTATTCAGCATTGGCCAGGGATGATGGGTGTTGTATTCCACCCTGGGGAAGGCTGCCTTGAGGAAGAGATTGGGGGACTCGGACATGAGGCCATGGCTTGTGGGATGCTGCCCTGCTGGCTGGCCTCTTCTTGGCCTCCAGTCCCAGCCCTGCCTTGCCCTCAGGCGCCTTGCAGGATTTAAGCAACAGGGACAGGGGCCCTCCCCTCCCCTCCCCCTTTTGGCACTCACTCAGAGGCAAAAGGCCTCTGGAGCCCATCGAGCTGAGAGAAGGGGCCCCTGGGCAGATGATGCTCCAAGGAATGGATGCTCCGTGGGTTGACTCCCCCTTTCTGGCTTTCCTTGTGGTGCTAATTCTGCCACTGCCGGCTGCTTTTGGCCTCCAGGAGATGCAAGACTGGGTACAATGCCAGGGAGCCTCCATGCCCTACCCATTCTGGAGGTGTGCGATGGCGTGGCCAGACACAGCCAAGGCCTCTTGCTCCGGGTGGCTCGTGTGTGGGGCAGGCCTCCTGGGCCTCCCTCATGGGGGGCAGGGTCTCTTCTGGACCCAGGCTCCCCCTTGTCAGAACTCTCCTCTTGGGGGTGGAGGGCGGGGGCCAGGGACTGGCTGCCTGCAGACTGGGACACCCTCCTTCTCCCCCTCCCTCCCTCCCTCCCTCCTTTTTCCTCCCCAGAGAAGCTCTATCGTTCGAAGGGCCCTGAACTGAGGCGCTCCCTCTTCTCCCTGAAGCAGCTCTTCCAGGTAAGCCCTCCCTCTGGGAGGAGGCCCGGCAGCCCCCCCTTCTTCCTCCTGCCTCACCTGCTGCCTCCTTCAAAACTGCCCGTCTGCCCTGAGCTGTGGGGCAGAGGGCCTCCTAGCTCTCCTTGTGGCTTCCTGATCCTCTTGTCCCCTCTTCCCCCTCCCCCCCCCACCACTGCCTGCTGTTTTCCTGCTTGTCTTGGTTTTCTGGGGGTTCCTCCCACCCAGCAGGAGGAAGAGGAGGAGGAGGAGGAGGGCAACAGGTGGCTGGTCCAGGTCCAGGGAGGGTGGAGAGTCCGAGGGGGTGGGTGAGGAGACCCCTCTTGTGGCTGGGAGGGGCCACTGGCCACCTGGGCTCCTCTCTGAGGGTGCACCCCTGATGGCTGTGCAGGGGAGGGGAAGATGCTCAGCCCCCCACTTTCTCCTCCTCCTCCCCCTCCTGCAGGAAGACAAGGACCTGGTGCCGGAGTTTGTGAATTCGGAAGGGCTGACGTGCCTCATCACGGTGGGAGCCGAGGCGGATCAAAATTACCAGAACTACATTCTCAGAGGTGAGTGACCACTAGGCCGGCCTGTGGAAGGAGGGAAGGAGGGGGCCGCTCTGTTCTCTGCAGGTGGGGGGGTTGCGGCTGGGAGGCAGGGCTTGCTCCTCCTGGTGTGGAAACAGCCCCTAAGCTGGCCTTGGCAATTGGTGTGCCCAGGGAGGAAGGAGATCGAGTGCTCCACCGCCCACCGGGCTGCTTCTCCTGCCAGGGCATTCCTGTGGGCTGCCTAGGTTGCATCCGTCATCTTATGACAGACAGCCTCCCTCCCTCCCTCCGGGCCCTTCCCCTGGCACTTCCTTGCTCCAAGCTGCTGCCCTCTAAGCCATTGCAAAGGATTGTGGATTCTCCCCCCCCCCCGGTGTGGGGGCTAGGTTCCATCCATGCAGGCAGTTGGTGGGGCCCGTCCTCGTTAAAACCCCTTTGATTGTTTACTAAGGATGTATCTGGCTGGCCATGCCTTCCTGGGATATGGGTGAGGGCAAGGAGGTGCCTAACAGAAGGCACTTCTAAAAGGCTGGTGCAGAAACAACCGTGCTTCCTACGACAGAGATGGTCGGGCTGGAGGGACTCCTGGAGGGCTGACTTGCTGGCAAAGGTGTGTCCAAATTATGAGTGGTCATTGAAGCCTTTTGCAGAAGCAGAGGAGCAGAAGGGGTGAGGCCACCGGCCCCGCCTGCAGAGTCAGCACTGTGCTCGAGAAAACATCCACTTTCTGTGTTCTGCGAACCGCCAAAACAAGGAGAAAAGGGGAAGGGTCATCCGGCTGAACCCAAAGCATGGCCGTGGGACCCCGAAGGCCCAGCTTGTGGGCCCACAGGTGCCTCCCTCCCCGAATGGATGGGGTTCTCAAGGCCCTGCTCTCCCTTCCAGCGCTCAGCCAGATCATGCTCTTTGTGGACGGGATGATGGGAGTGATCAACCACAATGAGACTGTGCAGTGGCTGTACACCCTCTGTGGGAGCTTGGTGAGTCCCCCCCCCTCCCTCACCGAGTGTCTTGAGTGACATGGCCCCCCTCTGCTCACCCTTTCTGCCAACTCCCCCTCCCCACGGAGGGCCCCTCCTGAGAAGGCCCCTCCAGGGACGCCCACCTCCAGCTGGTGCACTGGCTGCGGACTGGGTGGGTGGGCGGTCCAGGGGAGAGGGACCTTGGGAAGGGCTGCTGAGTGGCCCAGCGGATCCAGAGTGGCTAGCTGGACCCCTGGGGGTGGGGGTGGGGTGGGGAGGCAGGGGCTGAAGCACAGGCTCCTCAGGCCACTTGGTGTGCTCCTCGGCCAGTACCGGCTGGTGGTCAAGACGGCGCTGAAGCTGCTGCTGGTCTTTGTGGAGTATACGGAGTCCAACGCCCTGCTGCTGATCCAGGCCATCCTAACGGTGGAGCAGGCCCGAGGTGAGTGGCCCGTGTGGGGGTGGGGTGGGGTGGGGGTCCCCCTGGGCAGCCCATCCCGGAGACGAGTGTGGGCAAGGCCGGCTTTGGCCTGACGGGGAGAGCCGTTCAAAATCCTGGGGAGCAGAGGCCCTGAATTGGCTTTGGGATGGGAGGGGGGGTGACAGGTGGACATGGTGACACCACCACTTCCTTGTTGCCCTGCAGGTGGCTTTCCGTGGTCCCCCCTCGTGGCTCTCCTTGAGCAGACCAGTGGGGCAGACACGGAGCTCCAGGTGTTTGCCATGACCCTCATCAACAAGGTGAGGCTCTCGGGCCAGGTGGGCAGGAGGGAGGCAGCCACCGCTTGGCACGGCTTCCCTGCCCGGACTGAGGTGCCCTCCTGATCTTGGGCAGACTCTGGCTGCCCTCCCTGACCAGGACGCCTTCTATGATGTGACCGACTGCTTGGAGCAGCAGGGGATGGAGAGGATCATCCAGCAGCACGTGGCCGGCAAGGGCACGGATCCGGACCTGCATCAGCAGCTGACCCTTTACGAGGTGAGGTCCTCTTTGGTGGTGAACCATGAAGGCCTTGCTGAGCTCTTGGCAGGATGCGAGGGTGAGACCCTGAGGGGCAGCCCTCCAGAGCGGGAGCCTTCCCTGCCAGCCCCCCTGGCCCCCCTGGACCCCCTAACTCCCACCCCGGTTTCCTTGCAGAATACCCTCAAGTACGAGGACGGCGTTGAGGAGCCTCCCCTGGGCACACGCAGCAAAGAGCGGAGGAAGGGGGAGGAAGGCCGGCGGGGGGGCCAGCGGCGGTCGCTTGGCTACCTCTTGGCCCAGGAGGAGAGCCGAGGGTCCGGAGTGCCTGTGGAAGAGGAGGGCCTGCAGGCCCCCAGAGTCCCGACCCAGATCCCGACCCCAGTTCTGGACGCAGAGAGGAACAAGGAGGACCTGTGAGTGGGGCCAGGGTTGCGTGGGGGGGGCAGAGAGAGAGAGAGGAGGAGGGGGTGCTTGGGCCGAGGGAGAAAGACCCCTGGTGGGGCAGGGCCAAGCTGAAGGATGGGCCAGGCTGGTGGCAGGCAGGAAGAAAAAGGGGTCAGCAGGAGGCTGGCCTCATCCCCCTCCAGAGGTGCCCACGCCGGGCCCCGGCCCCGGCTTCCTCTTCTGGCCTGGCTTCCTGGGGTGCTGACCTGCCGTCTCCAGGGCAGTCCTTCTCCAATGACTGGGTTTGCCCCCTTGCCAGGCCAAGCCCCCAGAGCGTCTGCAGCAGCAGTGTCTCCTGCGGGCCGCTTTCTGCCCCGACCGTCCCTGTGGAAGGAGAGCAGCCGGGCAGCCTGGGCGAGAGGAGCATTTTCAAGT